CACCGAAACAAAGTAACATGAAGTATGCGGTACACAGCCAGTAGGACTGTGCCGCGACAGAACTCGTGGTACACCAACTGATAGGAGTTGTAAGCTAAGCCAGCAGAATCATGTGGGGGCACTGTCGACATGCAGAACAGGGATTAAATAGTTTGGCCGGAAAGGTTCACCAGGATGGACCTTAACGGTTTGTGCGGCTGCACGATCCACTGAGCTGTGCTGGGTGAGGCATTTTGCCTATTCAGAGGTACACACCAAATTCGTCAATGAACAGAGACCAGGCAAACTCAGTCTCCTGGCACTCCTGATTACGGGTTGGAGTGAGGGTGGCCCCTTACTCCATAAAACGAAGTCTCTGTAGCCCAGTGCCAAAACATCCATGAATCGCGGTCAGCTTTTTGAATCAAAGGCTTTGGTTGAGGATCCGAATCATTCTCTTGCATAAGGTCGAGGCAATTTGACAGCATCCTGCTCATGCAATACAAGGAATTTCTTTTCAGTTTCTTGTGACTCTGGTCGTCGCAGAGGATAATCAACGGCGCTTTATCTGCTATATAGCTACGACTCAACTCTACTGCTTTTCTCAGACCACATACAGAGCTTTCTCATTCTTGTCGTTTCCTTGTAACTTCCCTTTTATCCGGTTTTCAACGCCCCAATTCTTGACCCGCCCCATCTTGCTTGAATGGTCGCGTGTCTTCTAGCTTCAACTCACACACAATCGCAGGGCGTCGCTCAAGTTCGGTCGACAAGTCCATACTCTACCAAGCGGACAATCTCAGCTCGTCCGCTTCCATTTAGTGTCCTCGATTCTCCCTATGACTGGTTTGCCTCAACGTGCGCACTTTATTGCAGAGTGGTGAAGAGACAGCACTTGTCCGAACACTAGAGACCTCATGGATCAATATCTGCTGCTTATAGGAAAAGGTCTGCAAGACTCGAGCTGTATGCTCACCCCGCAGTCCCACACATGTGACACCGCCGATATTTTCTCATTGGGCCTGTCCAGAGGTGACGCCGCTTAAGCCGGCATGGACAGTGCTCTGAGTTCCTGGGTCGAAGCTGCTTCGATCGATTGGATCCCAAGGAACAGTAATATGTACCCCGTGAGAGTAAATGGCTCACTCAAAACTTCGCAGTCGCACGGGGACAAACGGTGCGTGCTTGTCATTGCGGGATACACCCCCATAAGCTGTAGCAATAACTCAGTGAAAGGTAACTTCTATCACCAACCGAACAAGCCCCTTCGTTACAGAAAAAGTACGGATACCGAAGCGCATGCTGGTGATCTGATCACCAAAGTTGAAAAACTGTCCACTGGTAAGCTTCATCTGGGCGGCCAACACGCTGTAGGCTCAAGTAATGATAACGCAGGGCGGTCGTGAAGATGCGTGAAGATGCCCCTCTATTTTTCGCGAGCACCAACTTCAGATACAGCACCCGCCAGAGGGTGATATAGCGCCCACCAGCCTCGGAGCAGCCATGGGGGCAAAGCGATCATCTTGCGATCTCTTACCGCTGGAGTGGATGCGTTCAAAACTGTCTATCGATTTGGAGCACGAGCATGAACTCTGACTACGCACTGCGAATACACAGAAATCAGCAAATTGGTGAAGCCAAGTGTTCTGAATGTAAATCGAACTGCGCTGGCATCCGAGCTGAGTAAGCGCTCACTGGACACAGCTGAAAATCAATGGTCGCACATCTTCCAGACGTTATTAACAGAAGCCTTAAAGCGGCATATCTGATCTTAAACTTAAACATGAGGTCTCAACGCAGTCTCTGGAACTCCTCGGATAGGTGTTAATATGAGACTCACAAAGATCTCAGGGTGGAACTGCGTGTTAGTCTGCAGAGGGACTGCAAAGCCTAGTGCTACAGCTGCGCATCAAAGACAGAAAAAGGTGACTACCAGAACTTATTCCATCTGATATGCAAAACAGCCAGAAGGAAACCTGCTATTAGCGAGACTACATCCGACGAGAGTAGACAGCCAATCCACAACTTGTCAAAACACTTAGAACGTTTGGCTGAGTGGCTGAATAGCCATTTAATCAGCCAGTTATCCGCCCTCTTATCATCCAATGATCCTCCTTCTCCCTGGGACGCCCATCTGGATCAGCCCACACACGCTGAAGCCTGACGTAGGATCAAACTTTTGAAACTGAATAAAGAAGCACGAATAGCGGAACTCCCTCCAGTCCTCTTCAAATTCGGGGACCAGCTCTTGTAAATGACTCGCACAACGTAGGGGTGAATCTGTGGGAGCAGGAGACTGTTCCAACACTGGAGCCGCTCCGTTACAGACCAAATTTTCAATGAAGGCTCACCTTCGGAATGCCGCAATCATAGTGGGATCAGTCTGATCCTAATTGCCTGAAAGTTTCTTTCTTGTCGTTCTTCATAAACTGGCTGAACCCGTGAAAGCCAGATGCGCGAGGAGCAAGCTGGGTTTCACCGAAGTCAGTTGTATTGACCACATATTTGCATTAAGTCAGTTGTTGGAACACGGTCAGGTTAATGAGCGACCCGCCGTAGTCGAACTCCTTGACATCAAAGGTATCATCGATTCGGTGGATCGATGTACCTTTGGGACTGTCTACACAGGAATGGTGTGCCCGATAGGTATGTAAATGTCAGAAAAGCGCTGTATGCGCATAGTTCGGCCAGAATAAGGGTTTGCGGCTGTCGCCACTCTGCAATATCTCCAGAGATGCGAGACAAAGTTTCCCGCTGTCACCCTTCCTATTTAACTTCGCCATTGACAAGGTTATGTAAGCGGTGTACGCTGGACACGACCTACAAGGTGTGGAGCTGCTCCCTGGTATGTGACATGTTGACTTGAAGTACGCCGACAACATGATCCTTAGCTGTGACAGATCCCAAACGGACTAAGCAGCACTGGATAAATTAGCACTAGTTGCCAGTCGTTTTGGGATTAGCTTTACTCCCATGAAATGCAAAGTCCTTCTACAAGCTGGAAAGAGAACCATCTCTGCGCTGATCCTTGGTGGTGATCGGCTAGATGTCATCCAGAAATCCAAGCATATATGCAGCTATATTAGTGTCTGTTTAACAGATGTGGTCACGAACCGTAAAACAAAAGCGCGAGGTGCATTTGCCAATCTCCACCACCTGTGACGTCGGCGCGACATTACTCTCACCTTGAAAGGCAGAGTTTACAACGCAGCAGCAGGTTCAACCCTCCTGTATGACTGTGAAACCTTGCTCACCATATCGATAGACATAAGGAGGCTAGTTGCGGTCGACAATCGCTGCCTTCGAGCTCAGCTCATATCTGGTGAGAACACCGGGTGAACAATGTGTTCGGTGTCTCGAACATAAATAGATAAATAAACAAAATAATAAATAAATGGTATATTGCTCGACAACGCAAAACACATTTCAACTCAGTGGCCTGATAAATTGTGAACAATAACAAGCGGAGGCATGGCAAAATGCCTAAGTAAAGTAATATGGCCATCCGTGGAACCGTGTTTTTGGAGACCTGATTTCATGCAGGGTAGTTCCTCGAGAGGTTCCAAACGCACTTTCATGCCTCAACCGGTTGTGTGCCAGTATGGCGTAAGAGTATGCATGCTACGAAGAGCAAGTGAACCGTTCAGCATCATTTTAACGCACAAGGCGCCGATGACTAAGCCATGTGTTGCGCATATTAGCACACCGACTCCCACTATGTGCGTTATTTGCACGACCGGGGGCTGGATGGAAGAAAACGAGGGGCCAATTGGTGACTTGGTCAAGAGGTGTGAAAGACCTTCACATCGAAATTGGCGTCGGTTGCTGATTCCAGACTTCCGAGCTGAGGTCCGAAGAATCATGAAGATGTTTGGTAGGATAAATTTGGTGTAATGGCAAAAACCGACCTCAATGGCGTTTGTATTGGGAGTTTCCTAGTTCGTCCTTCTCCTACTAAGGTTCCCTTTACAACCACCATCTTACGCTAAATGTATAATGTGATAGCAATCATTATATTACTTGTTCTTTCTGTTACTATTTTGCATACTGTAGTGCTTAGTATTTGGTTCTTTTCGTACAACATTTTGTATTGCGGTACAATAGTTGTGATGTTTCTCGCCTTTAGCTAAAGTGTACTGATAATGCTGATGCTCCTGCTGATGATGATTATTGAATGGAAGCAGCAAGAAGAGATGTCTCTGTGTAGCTGCATTTAATATTACTCAGGTATAAAGACCATTATGTTGGAGTGCGCTCGATATCTTTTAATCGGAAAAATGTTTGTCCAGGAATTTCAGAAATTCGGACACCGACATCGCCTTAACTACATGCTGCGGTAAGACTAGGACACATTTTAATGACAAATAGATAATGAATCACAAATGACACTGAATTATGCAAAAAGACGGATAAACACGACTTTACTAATGTAAATAAAGAAGAAAACAGTCTAAAGAAGGTGCAAGAGAGCAGAACGACAGAGTAACTGCCAAAAAACAGACAACAATATATTACTGGATAATCCAGAATAACAAAGAGTACTGAATCAAACAATTTAAGACAAAAAATTTCGGTGTAACACAGAAAAACGGAACAAACTGGCCTGGGAGCAGAGCGACTTATTTTGAAGCGGCCGCCGTGACCTTGACCTTGGTGGTGATGATGACGATGGTGAGGATGATGATGTAACGTGGTTTTTGGTACTTTTCGAGCACATTTAGTTACAACAGTAAGTTCACATTCATCCCGTATTTTATTCCACAGTACTAAGAGCGGCAATTTAGAAAGTACGATCGTACGGTATCACTTGTGTGCTAATGTCGTTACTAATGAGGACGATGATACTATGGTGAGAAGATAAATGATATTGGTGATGACCGACTAATACATAGGGGCCAAGACAAGTAGTCGGTTGGAGAAAAGTTAAGGAATCTATTCGTCAGGTGAAACTAGTACCAAAGTGTTTATCTGTTGAAGTTGTAAGATCAAAAACAAATGCGAAGCGGGTAGCAAAAGTTAAACTAAGCAACAATGCGTGGTATGCAAATCAAGAAAGTCAGAAACGAGTCAGAATCAGTACTAAACAGCGAAAAACTGTGCTTCTGGATACAATTACGGAACTGAAAGACCAAAAGTGAATTACAGTGTGGAGCCAACTTACCGTGGAGACCGGTGGCAGGAAGCTTAGTCCCCCAGGAACACCACACTCTACATCAGTGGTCGAAGAGTGTTCACTGGCTAAATTGGTCATAGACTCCGAACGATTCAAGGGCTGAGTGGATTCAATGTCAGCATTGCAAGGAAAACAAAAACAAAAGTTCACGTTACAATTTGCGGTAGAAGAGAAAGAGAGAAAGAAAAGAGGGAGAAGTGGTAGTTCCAATCGGATCTCGTGTAAAGATGAGTACTCTGTTGCCTATGTGCGGAAAACCTCAAGATAGAGGTGAAGAACTGGTATACAGGCAAATATTGCTAACGTTGTAGAAGACAAATGATGGCAGTAGTAGAGTATACTGAATAGATGCGACACCCATAAAAATATCATAAACGCGCTCATTCAGGAAACGATAAGAGGGCCGCATATTTTTGAGAAAACATTGAGTTCAAATGCACAGTGCAAGAAGTCCACATCATAATGTGACTAAGGATTTTGGACCACTAAAAGAATATCCAATAGAGCAAGTTGAGGAGAAACGGGGAGGGTACTACAACCATTTACACTAAAATATACACCAGACACATTTTACCTCCCAGATGACGCCAAAGAATGCGAATGAGATCAAGTGTGGTAAGAGACATCACCATGATACACGTTAGCAAGAGGAAAGAAACACAGCTGACCGTAAGCCCTCACTCTGAAGAAGTTGGCTCCAGGCCATATCAGCAAGTGTATCCAGCCAAACGTGTTCATCGTCTTTCGGACCCCAACCAAGGAGCCGAGACGCTCCAACCGAGGCCAGCTTCGAAGTGAGGGCCTTCATTCCTCACGACCAAGTCATCGCTTGGCCACCTCTCCTCTTCTTTCATCCGCACGCCCGGCGAGCAAAAAACGCACGTCGCGGGAGTCGGGGTGATGGCATGCGTAACACGTTGCCGAGTCATCGGAGCATGGTGCGTGAAATAACGGTGCTGAGCGGTTCAGTTCCTTTTCCTGTGCCGTAAACAAGGCGTCGAACACGCTCGTTACTCACGCGGTGTTCCCACCAGACGTGAGCTAAATTGCGAACACACCGGTGGTCGAACGTAACTAGCCTCTTCAGGTCCGTTGCCTTAAGCGGCCAGGTTGCACAACCGTACAGTAGGGTCGAACGTACCGCTGCATTGTACACTCTACCCTTCAGCGCAAGAGTGATGTCGCACAGGTGCCATAAGTGGCGAAGGTTAGCAAAAGCGCCTCGAGATTTTGCCATACGGTTCGTGATCTCATCTTCAATCCCACGGGCGCTGATACAGATTCCCAGGTAGTTGAATTTTTGAACGACTTCTAGCTGATCCCCACCATGGGTCAGCGTAGGAAGCGGTCCAGGCCAATCTTGAAGGAACGCTTTACACTTCGAGGGGGTGAAACAAAGCACGAAGTGACGGACAGCCAGTGCTAGTCTGTCCAGTGCCGCTTGGCACATTTGTGGGCTGTCACAGATTAAGACAATGTCGGCAGCATACTCCAAGTCAAAAGTCGTTCTCCTTAGAGCAGATTCACACCTTCTAAGTCGTGTCCTGTGAACACGATTCCCTTGACTTCGTCAATAGCGAAGTTGAAGAGGAAAGGTGACAGAGGGCATCTTTGTGTCACACCGCTGGAGATATTAAACGGCGACGACAGTTGACCATAAGCCCTCACTCTTCCTGAGCTACGCGCGTATAATGATCGGATAATATGCACATATTTCGCATGTACACCTTCCCTGAGTAGACAGTCCCAAAGTGCATGTCTATCCACCAAATCGAATGCACCTTTGATATCGAGGAACGCGACGACGGTGGGTCGCCAATATATGTGGCGGTGCACCAACTACTGACGCAAAGTGAAGATGTGGTCAATGCAGCCATGACCCCGACGGAACCCGGCTTGCTCTTCACGAACATGGCTTTCACAAGTGCCAGTCAGGCTGTGAAGGATGACAGAAGCAAGCAATTTGGAGGCGATGCAGATCAGACTGATTCCTCTTTGGTTGCCGCATTCCGATCGTGAGCTTCCCTTGAAAATTGGAACTATGACGGAGCGGCTCCAGTCGGTTGGGACAGTTTCTTGCTCCCACAGTTTCACTAGTAACTCGTATAAATCATCCAAAAAAGCAGGGCCCCCAAATATGAAGAGAGTTGGGTGAAGATCATCTGATCCCGCGGCTTTATTTGACTACAACAGTCGGATCTCACGTTCGACTTCTGAGCGAGAGGGTGAATTCAAAGGGACAACCCAGGGAGCTGGGCGGTCAGTGGCCGGCGAGAAATCTAACAATTCCGACCGATTAAATTGTCTTTCAAAGTGCTCAGCCCAACGCCCTAAGTGTTTTGACAAGTTGTGGATAGGCTGTCCACTCTCGTCACGTATAGTTTCGTTAACACCAGGTCTCCTGCTGCCCGTTTCCCGTATCAGCCGGAATAACTTACAATGGTTACCAAGGACAGCGGCCATTTCTATCTCTGATGCAAGATGAAATCACCAGGATTCGCGGTCTCCCTTCAGTCTAGCACGGAATTTTGCCCGGAGCTTTTTCGAGTTTCATTGTGTTCGCTTCCAGCCGGAATATGCCGGCGGGCATCGATAAGTCTTAGAGACCGCGAAAAGACCCAATGTCCATGTTGGCGATTAGACTTACCACGCGAGGATTTTCCTGCTGCTAGTATGGCCTGGTGATTATGAGACCAGTGATCTTCAACTGCATCCAGTGAGCGTTTATTCAACTCGCATGTCAGCGTACTTCGATACGCATTCGAAACAGCTGGTTTCACCAGTAAGCAGGTTTTATTATGTCCAAAACCTCGTCTTGCGCGTCTGCCAAAACGCATCCGCAGGTCAGCACATACAAGTGCATGTTCGGTGTCAACTCATGTGCTCCAAATCGAGCGACAGTTCTGGACGCAGTCTCTCCATCGGTAACTTATCGTAATGTGATCGAGTTGCGTCCATAGCTGCTTCGAGAATGGTGGGCGCCAAGTCACCCTCCGGCGGGTGCTGTGTCGGAAATTAGTGCTCGCAAGAAATAAGCGAGCAGCTTCACACAAATGAAGTAACCGCTTACCGTTACCATTAAGATGTTATCATTATGTTGGTCACCCAGATGCAGTTCACCAGTGGATAATTTTCCAACTTGAGCGTCCAGATCCCCAGCCAGCACAACAGTGTTCGAGCTACTTCTGTGTCGATGGAGCTCGTTCAATTGGCGATAAAAGTCGTCTTTTAGCGAATCATCGCTACAGTTTGTGGGTGCATGGGCAGCGATGACGAATAGACACTCCTTAGTCCCGCGCGACTTCGAAGCTTTGAACGAGCCAGCCAATCGGACCGCAAACAACCGGCTACTGATTGGAATTCAATCAACCAGAGCAACTTCAGCCCGGGGACTCAGGGCAATACCAACACTGAGTTGGCCGGTGCTCGAAGCTGCCTCGTCACCGGATAGGCGCAATGAGAAAGTGCTGCTGGTGTCACTTGAAGGGGATCGAAAAGTGAGCACTGAGATCGAGTCATGAAGGCGGGTCTCCGATAAGCAGCAGATATCGATCGAAATGGTCTCTAATGTTCGGGCAAATGCTGCCTGTTGACCGATCTGAAGCAATGTGCGTACACTGTGACATGCCAATCTGAAGAATGATCGAGGGCTCCAAATGGAAGATGATGAACTGGGCTTGGCAGCTTGCTTGAATATGGGCTTGTCGACGGGGCAGGAATGACGCTCCGCATTCACATGTGAGTAGAAACTATAAGGTAAAAGACTATCAAAGCAAGGTGGGGGAGGGCCAAGAATTGGGGGTTGAAAACAGGGGGGATAAAAATGAAGCAGGAACGAGACGGTAAAAGTGAAAAAAGAAGATGGGTAGGCTTGAGCAATAGCACCCAAACCCCTATCCGACCTGCTCGATGCAGCAGAGAGGGCACCGTTGATTATCCTCTGCGATGACCAGAGCATCAAGAAACTGTTTGACGAAGGATTCATAGTATTGCGTGGGCATGATACTGTCAGGTTGCCCATGACTAGACAGGAGAATGATTAGGGTTCTCAACCAAGCCCTTTGGTTCAAAAACCTGACCGCAAGGCAGCGGGTTTGGCGCTGCGCTATGAGGATTCCGTTTTAAGGAATAAAGAGCTACCTCACTCCAACTCCCAACCTGAAGGACCAGAAGGCTGAGTTTGTCTGGCCTCTAACTATTGACCAGTTTGGCATGAGTGGCGCTGGAGGTGCAAAGGACCACCCAACATAGCTCAATGGATCTCTGAAGCACGCAAACCATCGTACAACGGCAAGGTCCAGCCTCATTGCGATGGTTTCCTCAGGTCAGATGCCAGCGTACTTTGTTATGCCTTTAGAACATTTGGCTGCACCAGCTGGCAAATATCTATGAGCACACAGTGCCGCTGTGGACGGTCACCGAAACGCACCAGCAGGTCGGCGCTAATAAGTGCGCGGTCAGAGTCCACGCTCGTGTTCCAAATCGATCGACAGTTTTGAATGCATCCTCTCCAGCGGTAACAGATCGCAATGTGATCGATTTGCATCTATGGCTGGTCCGGGGTTGGTGGGCGCCATCACGCTCCGGCGGGTGCTGTCTGTAGTGCTCGCGAGAAATAGAGGAGCACCTACCCACAGGTGTAACATCCGTTCACTGTTATCAGTACGGAAGGTTGCGCCATGTTGGCTGCCCAGATGAAGCTCGTCAGTAGACAGTTTTCCGACTTTAGCGTTCAAAACATCAGCAAGTACCACGGTATCCGTACTTTTCTGTGACAGAGGAACGCGTTTAATTTGTAACAAAAGTTGTCTTTCACTGAGTCAGTGCTACCATTTGTGAGCGCATAGGCCGCAATGGCAAACAAGCACCGTTTGTCCCCACTCAACTTCGATGCTTTGAACGAGCCAGTCAATCTGATTACTGATTGGAAGCACCAAGAAGAGATATCTCTGTGTAGCTGCATCCAATGTCACTCAGAGACAAAGACTCATTACGTCGGGGTGCGCTTGATATAGTTTATCTCGGCAAAGTGTTTCGCCAGGAATTCCGTAAACTCCGACATCGACTTTGCCTCAACAAGTGCTGCGGCAGGTCGTTCC